AGCTGCAGGCGGCTCCAGTGGAAATTTCTATCTTAGGCTGGGCTCAGAGTAGCAACATAAGATTTTTTGAGGCAGGCCTGCAGGTCGAGAGCCCATTCTAACTTTCTTCTCACATGTACTTCCTTGTTTCCTTGTCTTGCTTTTCCATCATTTCCTTTCAGCTCCAGTTTAAGACTGGACCACAGGTTCTGGTCCCAGCATTAATCTCTAGTCAGACTTGACAGTTCATTTGTTGACTCAGCTCCTGATCTTGCTGGGCCTCTTTATTCCCTTACTGTTCCTGTACTCAGCCTATAGTGGGCTCTCCCCACTGTGGAGACTCTCAGTCGGTGCCCTATTTTCAGCTTCATTCCTCCAACATCAGTATGGGCATCTCAACGGGATCCAGATGCCTCATTAATTGCAAAACTAGCCAACCTTAAAAGTCGTCTGTGAATCAGCAGAGTATTCCCTGAGTTAACAAAAATTTGACTTTGAAACATCCAGTACATAGGAATTTCTGGTTACACACTGCTTCTCTATCCTACAACTCACCAGAAGGCCTTACCCTCCCCTCTTCCCCCAACACACACACACCCCACAACCAAGCTGTCCTTTGCCAGTACACCCCTGTACTGATGAGGGGAAATGACTGGTCCAAGACTACACCTCCTTATTTTCACCAAGGTAGTTATGCACACAACATGCTCCTCCCTTTCCTGTTTCTAACTTTTTTTCCTTCTTTCTTTCTTTCTTTCTTTCTTTCTTTCTTTCTTTCTTTCTTTCTTTCTTTCTTTCTTCTTTCTTTCTTTCTTTTTCTTTCTTTCAGATTTTACTTATTTATTTGAGAGAGAGCAAAAGCAAGAGAGACCACAGAAGGAGAGGAAGAAGCAGAATCATCACTGAGCAGGGAGCCCGACACAGGGCTCAATCCCAGGACCCTGAGGATCTGAGCCAAAGGCAGATGTTTAACCAACTGAGCCACCCAGGTGCCCCTTCCTCCCTTTCCTCTTTCAACAGTCACAGCTCTGTTAAATCTCTCTCAGAGGATGCCTTTCCCAACATAATTGTCTCCATCTTCTTTAATCTCCTTCTTTCTTCTAATTATCAAAAAAAATCTCGTATTTCTTTGTAAATACTCCATTATTTACAGAAAATAATCTATTCTGTAAAATGTTTACACTAATTGTAATTTATGTTACGATATAAAAGTTAAGTTGCATTTGACTAATTGACATGCTATGTTTGGTAGACAGATCATTAAACATTTATTAATTTTACTATCGCAGTTTTCTTTTCATATTCATATTTTGGAATTTTATCCCTCCCCCTGCACCACTCATCTCAAACATTTTCTTAGGTCTTGAAAACTAGTAAGTGCTATGCTTGCAGTGGTAAGACAGTAAAATGGGTAAAACTGGCCTTGCTGACAAGATGAAAAGAGTGGAAATAACAACTATTCCATGTAATTACAAAAAACAAAAGAATATTGGCAGTGCGTTACTGAAGCATCACACTCTGAGTGTTCAACAAAATTCGGTACAAATACTAAATTTAACAAACTTAATCTACCACATATTTGAAATGCAGCCTATTACTATTTTTGTACTGCATGACAACCAGGCATGAAGAATAACTGATTACAAGAACATACAATGGGGAAAAGACAGTCTCTTCAATAAATGGCGCTGGGAAAGCCTTAAAAGAATAAAACTGGGCCACTGTCTGGGAGCATACACAAAAGTACCCAAGATGCGTGAAAGACCGGGATGTGAGACCTGAGACTAGAAAGGCAGCACAGGTAGCAATTTCTCTGATATTGGCCGTAGAAATATATTTCGGAAAGGTTTCCCAAGGCAAGGGAAGCAAAAGCAAAAATAAACTATCGGGATTACATCAAATTAAAAAGCTTCTGCACAATGAAGGAAATAATGAAACCAAAATACAACCTACTGAATGGAAGAAGATATTTGCAAATGACATATCGGATAAGAGGTTAATCTCCACAACATATAAAGAACACACACAACACCAAAAAACAAATAATCCAATTAAAATACGGAAGGAGGCCTTGAATAGACATTTTGCCAAAGAAGACATCCAGATGGCCAACAGACACACGAAAAGATGCTCAACATGACTCATCATCGGAGAAATGCAAATCGGAACTACAATGAGCTATCACCTCACACCTGTCAGGATGGCAAAAAGCAAAAAGACAAGAAATAACAAATGTTGGCAAAGATGTGGAGAAAAAGGAACCCTCGTGCATTGCTGGTGGGAATGTAAATTGGTGCAGCCACTGTGGAAAACAGTAGGAAGGATCCTCAAAAAATTAAAAATAGAATTACTATATGATCCAATAACTCCACTACTAGGTATTTATCCAAAGAAAATGAAAACACTGATCTTCCCTGTTTATTGCAGAATTACTTGCAATAGCCAAGATATGGAAGCCATCTAAGGGTCCCTTGATAGATGAATGGATAGGGAAGGTGTGACGTGCGCGCGCGCGCGCACACACACACACACTGGAATATTACTTGGCCATATACAGGATGAGTTCATGTCATTTGTGACAGCATGGATGGACATAGAAGGTATTATGCTAAATGAAATAAGTCAGACTGAGAAAGACAACCACCACATGATTTCACTCAAACGTGGAATCTAAAAAAAAAAAAAATGAATAAACAAACAAAGAAAAAGCAGAATCAGACCTATAAACACAGAGAACAAGCTGATGGCTGTCAGAGGGGGTATAGGGAGTGGGACAGTGGGACACACAGGCTTCCAGTAAAAATAAAATAAAACAAAACTGATTGCAAATAAATAGTAGTATTTCTGCACAAAGCAAGCATTTCTGGCACTTAGTTGGGAAAAAAGGAGGGCAGCAGGAATGAGAAACAATTTTGGGGTTTCTCTGAAGACTCCCGGCTATACAATGCAGCAGACCCCAGCAGACTGTAGTTTTCCACAGTTTAAATGAGCTCGATCCAGTAAACAAAATGTACCTCAATATTATTTCATAGCTAAAAAATAGGCACTTCATATATTGAGTGCCTCCCTCTCCCCGCCCCCCAGGTATTTAATGAGTGGTGGTGGTTGGTTGGTGCTCCCAGGGCCAAGCCCGATCGTGAGCAAGCTGGACAGCCCATGCTGGTGGTGGGCAGAGAGGAGGTGGCTCCTATGTCTGGGGCGGGCACTGAGAAGGCCCGGAATGTTCTGGGAGGGCAGAGGCGGGCCCAGGCTGCAGCAGCTGGGCCAAGGATCCGGGGAAGCCACTCTTGCCACTCCCCACCAGCCACCACTGGAAGCCTCTCCCCCAGCATGCTTGGGGCAGAAGGCAGAATTATTAGGCTCTGCATAACCTAATGGCTTTCCCACCACCGGGAGGAAAATGCTTCCCATAACGGCCCTTTGCCTTGACAGTGAAACAGAGCACCACTTGAGCCCTGGAGCTTCCACGAAAATGACCTGCACCTTTTGTGCACCCGGCTTGGCCACAGGGGAGTCGGCATGGTTGGCCCAGATTCTTTGCAACTCATTGGTGTGAAAAAAAGCCTGTGTTCAGAAAATAGGTGGCGAGGGAGCCAGAAAGTTGGAAAGTGATGGGCACTGGGCTCTCTTGGGTTCCATGCCTCCTCCAGGAGCTGGTCCAGTCCCGTGAGGGGTGCTATGGCTGGAACTTCTTGCAGAGTGTGGTGACATGCACTCCCCTGCAGACCCTTTGGGTCTGGGAGGGGAGACAGCATTCAAAGGGTGCCTCAGCTCACTGCCTGCTCAGTTCTTCTGCATGTTTATTTCTATAGTAGTGCCCTTCCTTGCTAAATTAATCTCAGGGAAAAAGGGTCAGGATTATAATATGAAGATGTGTACACCATATGATAAGGTACAAAGGAGGGAGCATCACAGAGAAAGTGATGACATTGGAGTTGAGCCCTGATTTGTGGAGAGGAGCTTCCTAGAAGAAAGGAAGGAAGGAAGGAAGGAAATAGTAACACTAATTATAATAGCTAAGATTAATGAAACACTTACTATGGAACAGGTGGCATTCTAAGTGTTTTCACATATCCATTCATCCAGTCCTTGTAGCAACTCTAGGAGGTAGGTGCAATTATTATTACCATTTTACAGCTGAAGAAATTGAGGCACAGAGAGGTTAAGTAACTTCCTCTCAGTCACACAGCTAACAAGGGTCAGAGTCAGGATTTGCACCCACTCCATCCATGGCCTGTGCTCTTAACTCCATCCAGGGAATGTGAGAGTGGGCTGAATGGGGGGACATTCATTCAGGCCATGTGAACAGCCCTGGCTGTATGAAACAGTTTGCTTAGAGAATCTGGTACGTTCAGATGCTCTAGATTATAGGAAAAATGGTAGCATTTGGGAAAAGGTTACATACGTTTGAAAATTTGTAAGAATTGTGATTTAAGTCATGGCATAAGAAAATGCAGTATTTCTTCATTTTTTTAATGTCTAAGGCAAATGTAATTGAAATGATGTTAAAAAGGAACAAACAAAAACACCCAAATGACCAGGAAAAGGGAGAAGAAAAGAAAGTAATACATCAAACATAAACAGTGAAAAAAAAGTACATACAGAGAAGAGTAGAAAGACATATTTATGTTCTTTGGTATTTTCTAAAGTTTCTAATTTCATAGTCAGAAAATATGTATATATAAAATAAGTTTTCTTACCATAATAAAATATATATGTATATACAATGTGTGTGTATATTATACACACACATATTTGTTGTTTTCAATTTTGAAAGGCCCAGATTGACAATTCTAGTAAAAATAACACATACTGGGACATGAAACATTCCAGAAGAGGGCTGAAAAACATTACTTTATATTACTCCAAATTACTATTCTCTGGTGCAAAAATTTATAAACTATAACTTGGTGGAGTTGATATTTTCAAAGTAAGTTAAATTGGGGTTCAGACTATTCATACTTCAGGCAGTCTTTTTAAAAAGGAAGCATTTTAAATGCTTTAAGTAAAATTCCTCCATCTTCATAAAAAGATGCTTTTATTAAAAGCTTGAAAATGTGTGCTCACAGTCGAAGGAGCAGGCAGGGCTATTTTAGAGGCGTTTCACGGGAAAGAGAAATTGAGGCGCCTTGTCCCCTGGACCCTCTCTGAGGGCACAAACAAGTAAGCTGTGAGACTGTTCCAGAATAATACATGCGACTTGATTGCTGGAATGGTTTCTGGGTTTTCGTTATTCTATTGATGTTTCCCAAATGTCAGGATCCCAGTGAAATCTCTTTGAAGCAGATCACATGTGTCCCGCCAGAGACGGCATCCGCTAAGAGCAGCCCTCATCATGGACATCTCAGGCTTGCGGGGGGCGCTTTCACTACGATCCTCTCACCCAGGGCAGGAGACAAGAAGGGCAGGCAGAGCGAAGGGGAGGATCCTGAGTCCGTCTGTAAAATGCAGGCAAGGCCCAGCCTTCTACCGGGAATTCACTCCTTTCTTTCCAGTCTGAAGGTTGTCAGCATCACTCCAAAGTGCCTTCAGGGCAGGGACGGCTCGCACACTTGATGTCAGTGACATCAGGTCCAAAAGCAGGAAATGACATGCGACGGCCGGAGGATGTTGGGACCCCTCCCCCTGACCCTGCCCAACAGCCAGAGAGCTGCTCCTTTTTGGACAGGAGGGTCTTGGGTGGGGGTGGGGGGGAACCACCTTTCCCCAAAGCTTGCCAAAAGCCTATTCCAGGGGAGAGGGGAGGATGCGCCGGCCCCATTCCCTCCTGCTCCCCTCCCCGGGGTGGGGGGGGGGGTTTCCCCAGACCCGTGCTGGTGCTGCTGATGCCCACATGGAGGAGAGTAAGGGGTCACAGCTGTCGGATGAGTCACCTTAGGCTGGGCAGGCATTGTTTAAAAATCTGCCTGTGTGCCTCTTTGATTAGATTCCAACAGACAACAGGGGCGGGTACTGGGGGAGGAGCGAGCAGATGAGAAAGCAGGCCGGTGCAGACTGGGTGGCAAGAGGAGACAGCCTGGGCAAGGACATGTGCTGCCGGTAACCCACGGGCAGCCCTCCTGTGCCCGGGCCTGCTGTAACCAATGCTGTCATTGATTTATCGACTGCGTGTGTACTAAACGTCCAGGTCACATTGTCTCTTAGACTCACAACATAACACAACCGGATTTCCATGTTTCAGATACGCTAACAGAGGCTCAGAGAGGGTAGGTGACTTACTTAGCGACCCAACCAGCAGATGGTGCCCAAGCAGAGTGGGCACCATCCATGAGGGTGATCTTTCCCTTCCACAGGTAGGGAGATGCCCACCTGTTAGGGTCCCATGTCCCCAATATTATCCCTTCCAGGTCACATCTTCTATGCCTACTTGGCCCCAAATCCCCATCTTGAAGGAAACAACAAAGACCAAGAAGCAATTACCTCCAGAAAATCTTTATGGCGCTGTGTTATCCGTGAAGTTACCCAGAGCAGGGCCATTCTCTGGAAGGGAAATGGAAGGCTCTGTCTGCTCATGAACAGCCCAAGAAATGGGAACTGGAGGTAGAGATGGGGAGAAGGTGGAGGCCAAGCCCTCGGAATGTGGGAACAACATCAGTGGGAATAGACTGTGCCCTGGGGGCCCAGCTGCATGGGGAGGGGAGAGAGGAGGAGAGAGCCAGGAAACCCATACCCCCCCCCCGGCCCTCCCCCCAGGGCACCAGGCACCTGACCAGTGCTGAGAGGACCCCCGAGGACTGGCTCCCTCAGGCAGGCGTGATGAAGCCATGACGTTGCCCACCTCTGACAGATGCCCACTATTAACACAGCAAGCAGGCTTCATACTTATAACAACAGCATCACCTTGGGTTTTATGGGGGCATTTCTGCTCCATAAACTTGACCTGCTTTCATATAGAGCTTCTCATTTCCTACTCACAAAGCTGGCTGCAGGGCACCTATAATTATCGTCATTTTATAGTTGGAGAAACTGGTCCCAGAGAGGAAAAGGAGTATGTGTGGGCAACAAAAACAGTCCCCAGGTCCCCGCTCACCTAGCCCAACGTTCAGGATCATCTTTGAGAACAATTACGATTGGGTGTTACCTCATGCTGACCAAGCCTTTAAAACTCACCTGGGCTTTGTCTTTGTAGAAGGAATCCAGATGACTTCACTTACTAGCTTTGTAGCTAGTCAGCTCTTTGAGCCTCCTTTTCCGAGCTGTGAAATAGGGATAGTAATTATGTCTACTCCAGAGCAGAGCTGTTCAATGGAAATACAATGTGAGTCACATAGGTAAGAACATTTTCCAGTTTAGTCACTACTAGTGTAGTAGTCATTTAAAAAGGTTAAAAAAAAAAAGTGAAATTAATTTTAAAAATCTATCCAAAATATTATTTTGAGATGTAATCAATATACAAAATTAGCAATGGAATATTTTACAGCCTTTTAACTTACTGAGTCCATGCAATCCAGTGACTCTTTTACACTTAGAGCACATCTCAATTCAGACTACCCACATTTCAAGGGTTCAGTAGCCACACGTGGCTTAGCGGCCTTTGAACAGGACTGTGCAGCTCTCTAGATGGCAGCGAGGATTAGGTGACATATTGAATGTAAGGTGTGGGTACCTGGGGGCTGATGTGCGGCTGTTACATCCTCTCGGACCCACACGTACGCACGCAGAATTTCCCACATTTAGATGGCCTTTACAAGGACCCAAGAGCCCAATGCAGACATGAGACAAATCCAGCACCTTCTAAACGGACCATCTTCCTCACAAGTAGAAGTAAAAGCCGCCCCCTCCCCCCATCCTCTCTTTCCTCCAACACAGTTCCCATCTGCTCTCACCGGGGAACCCCCCACTCTTCCCCATCTTGCACCCCCTCCCCGCGTTTAGACTGGCTGCTGCGAATTCCCACCCGGAATAGGAAGAGAACGGGGCCCTGGGAGGCAGGAAAGCTGAGGAACAGCTGTAGAGCCCACTGACCATTCTAGGCTCCCCGCTCCAAGAGGGTACTGGCTGCCTCTCACCTGGCCCCGGGAGGCGAGGACCCTCCCACCCCCGTTCCAGGACCCAGGTGTCCAGCCCCTGTCGGGCGTCCAGAGTGGACGGGTGGGGGGATGCGGTGTTACTGAGGAGCCAGTGCAAGGTGGGGCCGCGTCGGTGCCTCGAGCCGACCGCGGCGGGCTGGGCCGGAGGCCCCGACACCGCCCTTGGCGGCCGGCCGCCGGCGCCGGGAGCCCTCTCGCGAGCCGACAGGCGCGGACCCGGGCCTGAGCGCCCCCGCACCTCGCACCGCGCCCCAGCTCCCCCTCGCGGTGCCGCAGTCCCCGCGGCGCCGCCCCCAGCCCCGCCCGCCATTACGTCATCGCGGGCCAGGCCGGGGAGGGGGCGACTCCCCCGGTATAAAATGCAGCGCTGGGGGGCGGCGACTGGTCTCTGCTGCGGAGTCCGCCGGTGCCGCCGCGCGCACAGCTCCGAGGGCCAGCGCCAACACCCTCTCCGCAGCCGGCACCATGCGAGAGATCGTGCACATCCAGGCGGGCCAGTGCGGCAACCAGATCGGCGCCAAGGTGGGCGCGCCGCCGTGCAGGGGCCAGGGAGGGGGCGGCAGGCCCCGAGGGTGCCGACCCGGGCCGGGGGTGGCGGGACCCCAGGGTGCGGGCCGGGGCAGGGGCCGGGGGGAGGTGGCGGCGGCCCGCCGGCCCCGGTGGCGCGTTCTCGGCGGGGCCGCCGGGCGGGGCCCAGGAAGCCACACAACCTGCCACGATGCGCGCGGCGACGCATTGGGGTGTGCCTTTAATCAAGGCCCTGCGAGACGTGGTTGGCATTTTCTTGGGTGTATTACCCTCTAGAATTTGCATAGGGAGAGCGGTCATATTAATCCAGTGGCCTCATGTGGAATTTAATTAGTGAATTTTCCTCTATAGTTTGAATGAAAACAATGCACTGTCACTGCCGTGACATGCTAGAGTTCTTGTTGGGTTTCAAAAACGGGGATTTAGAGAACTTCCCTAATATGAGCACCCTCGACATGATGAGACATAATGTCGGAGTCTGGCTTCCTGTCTGCGAGGCGGCAGGTGACGTCCCGGCGCTGTGACTACCGACCGCAGTGGGCGAGGCAGGAGCCAGCCTGGTGCAAGGGTGTGGGCGGGCGCCCGGACAAGGACGTGGTCTCTTTCACAACCGCCATATTGCCCACCCCAACCTCCCCGCCCCCTTCCCTGCTGCAAATTCACAATGGAGCCTGTGCCCTCACCGTGCCCAGCTCTACCCACTGTCCCCGGTCGGGATCCCAGACTCCTCCAGCCTGCCCTTCCCCACCCACCCCTGCCGAGGGCAGGGGCGGCAGGCCCTCTGGATGTCAGTGGCCTAAAACTGCTCTGCCTGGAGGGCTGGGTGGGGTTTGCACCAGGAGACCTTGATCCCTGCAGGCAGTTGAGGGGTGGGGTCCAAGTGGTCCTTGGTCCTGGCGGGACCCACCCATCGGCTGGGATGCGGTGACATTCAGCCCTGCCTGGGGGTGACGCCCCCCCCAACCTCCATGGCTTTCCCTAGAAGGGCATCTGCTGTGCCCACCCTCCTCGCTCAGTGCCCTTCCCAGCTTTTCAGTCTGTCGCCATCATATGGCCGATGCTCTGCGGATTTCCAAGCCCCTCTGCAGCAGCCCCTGGAGGAATAGGGGGGTGCAGCTCTAGGACTCCTTCACTGGCTGACCACAGTGGCCGCTGTTCCAAGCACATGAGAGGGAGAAAAGAGTCATCCTTACCGATATTTAGGATGCCCGCCCATCATGTGATTTCCCCCCTCCCCCCAGTTTTGGGAGGTCATCAGTGATGAGCATGGGATCGACCCCACTGGCAGTTACCATGGAGACAGTGACTTGCAGCTGGAGAGAATCAACGTGTACTACAATGAAGCTGCTGGTGAGTACTTGAATGTTTTTGCCCAGTCAACCTTGCTTTGCATACTGTGGCAGACGGAATGTACTAGGACAGACAAATGACAAAGACGTGCTTCTTGCATTCGTTTTAAATGTCAGCTGCTAAAAACGACACGTTCTAGAGCTCCTCACGACTCCTGCATGTTGGCCATGACTAAGCATGCTGTTATCTCCTCTTCTGAGGCAGAAAAGCACCTCTATTCGCTCACTTTTGTCTCAGATGCTAGAATGTTCTCTAATGATTCTGCGGTGAAAGGAGCATAGAGCACAGCCTTGTCTGTGATCCCTTTGCCCGCTGCACATCTAAGGGCGGCTCTGTTCCCCACAGGTAACAAATACGTACCTCGGGCCATCCTGGTGGATCTGGAGCCGGGCACCATGGACTCCGTCAGGTCTGGACCATTCGGCCAGATCTTCAGGCCGGACAACTTCGTGTTTGGTATGTAGTCACGATCAGTGGCAACTGGCTCAGTGAGTCTCCCTTCTCAACACTGTGGAAGTCAGAGATCTTAGTGCTGAATGCCAAGGTGGAGACTGTGTGTCCACAGAGAGCCCTAGGTCCTGGCCTAATTCCACCTAATCCTGGGGCGACCACTTCTCTGGCCCCTCTCTTCTGGCCCCTGGTCTCTGGGCAGTTCAGAGCACAGTGTCAGCCTGCAGAGGGCCCCTTCGCTCCCCGACCCCCGCCAACTACAGAGTAGCCTGTGACAGGTGAAGAATACAGAGCAGTGACTAACCTTCCAGCAGGAGTTGATAAGCTGCTGGTGACGTCAGAGGACCAGGGCCAGCAGGTAAGCATGTCAGGAAGCCACAGGCCAAAGACACAGGTTATGACCAGATGTGGGGCCAGCTGCTTGGAGCCCATCTTCTCTTTGGATCATATTGTGCCCTTGCCCTTGACTGTTTATGGTACCTAATGTAAATATTTACACAAGATTCCTGTTCCTAGTTTTAAAACCAGTTGGGTTTTGGGATGCCTGGGTGTCTCAGTGGGTTAAGCGTCTGCCTTCAGCTCAGGTCATGATTCCAGGGTCCTGGGATCGAGCCCCGAGTCAGGCTGCCTGCCCAGCAGGGGAGTCTGCTTCTCCCTCTGCCGCTATTTATGCTCTCTCTCTCACTCTCAAAACAAAAACAAAAAACCAGCTGGGTTTTGTCAAACCATCTTCCCGATCAGTTAATAACTCCATCTGAACTAAACTTGCTTTTTATCCTATTATGATGTCCAGTGTTTTTGAGGATCATTGATGTATAGACAATTTTCCATAGGTAAAAAAGGTATCTAAAAGAGAAGAATCTGCAACTCTTAAGATTAGTCTACAAATGACAGAAATCAGAATTCCTAATGTTTTAGTGTCTAATATTCTCCTTTCCCTCTGGCAGGCCAGAGTGGCGCGGGCAACAACTGGGCGAAGGGCCACTACACAGAGGGAGCCGAACTCGTGGACTCGGTCCTGGACGTGGTGAGGAAGGAGTCGGAAAGCTGTGACTGTCTGCAGGGCTTCCAGCTGACCCACTCGCTGGGGGGCGGCACGGGGTCCGGGATGGGCACGCTGCTCATCAGCAAGATCCGGGAGGAGTACCCAGACCGCATCATGAACACCTTCAGCGTCATGCCCTCGCCCAAGGTGTCCGACACGGTGGTCGAGCCCTACAACGCCACCCTGTCGGTGCACCAGCTGGTGGAGAACACCGATGAAACCTATTCCATCGACAACGAGGCCCTGTACGACATCTGCTTCCGCACCCTGAAACTGACCACCCCCACGTACGGAGACCTCAACCACCTGGTGTCGGCCACCATGAGCGGCGTCACCACCTGCCTGCGCTTCCCCGGCCAGCTGAACGCCGACCTGCGCAAGCTGGCCGTGAACATGGTGCCCTTCCCGCGCCTGCACTTCTTCATGCCCGGCTTCGCGCCGCTCACCAGCCGCGGCAGCCAGCAGTATCGGGCCCTCACGGTGCCCGAGCTCACGCAGCAGATGTTCGACTCCAAGAACATGATGGCCGCCTGCGACCCGCGCCACGGCCGCTACCTGACCGTGGCCGCCATCTTCCGCGGCCGCATGTCCATGAAGGAGGTGGACGAGCAGATGCTCAACGTGCAGAACAAGAACAGCAGCTACTTCGTCGAGTGGATCCCCAACAACGTCAAGACGGCCGTGTGCGACATCCCGCCGCGCGGCCTCAAGATGTCGGCCACCTTCATCGGCAACAGCACGGCCATCCAGGAGCTGTTCAAGCGCATCTCGGAGCAGTTCACGGCCATGTTCCGGCGCAAGGCCTTCCTCCACTGGTACACGGGCGAGGGCATGGATGAGATGGAGTTCACCGAGGCCGAGAGCAACATGAACGACCTGGTGTCCGAGTACCAGCAGTACCAGGACGCCACGGCCGACGAACAGGGGGAGTTCGAGGAGGAGGAGGGCGAGGATGAGGCTTAAGAACTTCTCAAATAAATCGTGCATCTTTAGTGAACTTCTGTTGTCCTCAATCAAGCATGGTCTATTTGTATACTATGGTGCTCCGTTTTGCCTCTGTCAGAAATTCACACTGTTGATGTAATAATGTGAAACTCCTAAAAAATCACAGTATTGTCTAAGATATCTATACTAATAAAAAAGCATGTGTCCAAAACTGTGTGGTCTCCTTAATTTCATTTCAGGCAATTTTTATTCTTTCACTGAATGCTTCTTAAATATGTTTCTGGGTTTAGTGACTTTAACAAACTAGGATTTCTGCTTTAATGTTTTTAATTAATAGCCTTTTCTGCTCTGTTAGTGAAGACAGATAAAAAGACAGTTCTTCATCTTCACGGGCCCCGAGTATTAAAGTAAATGAATCCAGGAAACATGTGGAAGAAATAGAGATTTAAGGACAAAGCAAACCTTCCTACCTTATTTACTGTAGTTCCAGCAACTCTTGTGAAAATGTGGGATCAAGGGCCCTAGGCAAGGATTTTCTTCTGTTTCTCTACTTTGAACCATGATAAATTCAAGTAAAAAGACCAGCGAAAGCTTGTACCTCTCAGATAAAAGGGACAGCATAATTCTAGATTCAGGATACCCTGAAATCACAGTCATAAATACTCCAAATGCTTCAGCTAAGATTCACTGGCGAGAAAGTAAAACAGAATCAGAATTCAATTTTTAAGCCAATGGTAGACATTCACAACTTCACTGTTAAAAAAAATCAGCTTTAATTTCTGTAGCACTTAGAGCTGGAAGACGTTTTAATATGAATTACTTCCTTTTGGCCGGGAGCAGTCTGCGGGGAGGAGGAGAAAGCATGGGAAGGCAGGGGAGCTACGGAGGGACTGCAGTGCGTTTCAAAGGCAGCAACAGGCTCAAGCCCCACAGTGAGGAATCCCCAGGTCCCTGCCGTTCTCAGGGGCCTTTGCCCTGTAAGAAGTCTTCTGCTAACTTACTGAATTCATCTGCAAAACGTAAATGTAGGTTGTGCTTGCCTTCTCGTATCAGATGCAACCTAAAAAAAAAAAAGTTTATGATTAATGGCACACCATTTAAAACTCACCCTTTCCAACATTTCATGAAAATCTGAAGTGAAAACCTGCCCCATCCTTTTTTTTTTTCATGATGACTATTGGGCAGGAAAGGTAAGGTACATAATACAAACTTTCCCTGATTATAGGCGTAAGGGTGAGAGCTGCTTGGGGCGTTTACAACCAACCTGGGGGTTGACTTAACAGCACACACATTGTATTTACAATCTGGAACTGTATCATGTAACACATGGTTTGACTTTAAATCTGATTGAGAGTGGGGGATGTGATTTGGTCATTACTTAGGGGGGGAAAAAAAAACCCATTTTAATAAGGTTGATTTTAAGAGAGAAGGTTGGAAAGCCAAGAAAAATACGAAATGTCCAGAATCCACTGGATTGGAACAGGTGAGCTTCCTGAGGTATCCTAGAGTGAAAGCCCAAGTCAGAAATCACAGCCCCCAGCAGCCTGTCATTTAAGATTCAAAATCACCTTGTCACTTTTGGAGGATTGAAGGAATCTGAATATTAGCCAGCAGACAAAGGGCACGTAAGTGTTCCTGGGGACCTTGGGGGCAGCTGGAGCTAGCCTCAGCAACCCTTTGTGCATGTCTTGTGGCAAACCTCACTACTCCTAAGACTTCTGTCATAAGCTTTTGGTCAAATGTGGCTGGTTTGCAATTTCTTGAATATAGGCAGTCTTCTTTGAGTTCTACATTTTCTTTAGTGGCTGTAAAAGTGCAGAAATAAAGTGTTAAACAAAGCTTCTAGGATATAGGCACAAGTTCAAGCTGTTTTGTCTATAATAACAACTGGACATTAAACGGTCCTATCGGGGCAAAATGCCAGTTACTACACCGCCTAATTCTCTGACCTTTCAACAACTGGGGGTTGAGAGCTCTAAGAACTTGAGGGAGGATTTGTAGGGAAAAGGAGCTGGGGGAATAGAGCTGTCCTTGGACAATGTCGGGCCCCCTGCAACTCAACCACGTGGGGTGTGGGGCAGGGGTACCTAGATACACCTGATAATCTACTTGAAAGAAAGATATATTGTTGGCATCTTTCTGAGGCCCTTGGGAAAGCTAATAATGCCATTAATAATAGCCAGAACACTCCAAATTCAATTTTAATGCTGTTCACAAAAAAAAGGATCAACTGCAGCAACTCCAAAGATAGGATCCCATTTGCCCCACAGAAGGAGCAGGGCTTGCAGGGATGCTCAGGGCCTCCATTTTTAGAAGGCAGAAAATAACCAGCAGCAGAGGATACTGAGAGGTCATAGAAGGACGTGTTTAGGCTAACCTGCATCCCCTAATGTGTGCTAAGCTGAACTCTGAAGCAGAGGGACCCTGACCTGCCAAAGTTGGACGTCCTCTTTGTGGGTAGCCACAATGGTTACCATAGGGCCTACCCCATTTCTACAATTTGCTCAGATTCCCAACAAGGAAGGAGAGACACCAGCTGTGCATCTCTTCTTTTTAGCCTCAGTGTATCTGCACTATTCCTATGGTAATCTCTAGGTCTTAGGGAAATAAACACTAGGTCCCCTTCATTAAAAATATGGGAGGCCTGTTTTCAGGCATCTACATTCAGAACTGCACTGGACTGTGGATGGATGGATGGAATGATGGATGGATGGATGGATGGGGCTATAAAGAAAATTGCTCTCCTCCTTGATATGTTTTGGGGGTCATTTCAAGGTCCTTAGTATAATCCTTTAGGATTCACTATACTTGAAACCTATCATGTGTTCCGCTTTGGGAACAGTCCTCTGGACAAGCATAAATATACAGCTGTCAGGGCTATGAAGCAATATACTGCTGATATAGATTCTCACCCAAATAACAAAAAGAACTAATCACATGCTCCATGGAGGGTGGTTTTCAAACAATCACATTTTCCAGGAAAATCAGTAGCAAGTCCCCCCACCGTCAGACACATAGTGCAACTGGAAATGTAGGGGCCTCTGAGGGGGCAAATACAAATTCCTCTTTCCCGGGGCAGGTTCCTGCCTGCATTTGGCACCTTCAGAAAAAGAGATTTGATTCTAGATCTTTTGAGGAGCTGAAATGTGTCTGATCCCACAGTGTAAATTCAATGGTCACTTTACCTCTGCTTGGGAAGAGTGCTTCTAGGATGCTCCTTACAGATGAGGTGGCCAAGGACAAACAACACACCGGCCCCACCATACTACCTCTCCTTCCTCAGTCTAACCTTCAACAGCTTTCAAATTAAGCTGTGAGAACTACAGACAGGAGCAGCCCATAAGTAACGTGCCGTAGCATTTTTTTCTTCACTTTGGATGTGATAAAACTCTAGTGGTATATGAACCCCTAAAGTTGCTAGTCGAGTCTGTGAGCATTTTTGTTTTAGTTGAAAACCAAAGTAGGCTGCTGGTTCTCTGTACCTGGATCTCTTCCACAATGACAACTGGACAGCCATGTGGCTAACAGGGAGGCCTGGTCACTTTCAGGCATTCCTTCCAAGGCCATCCAGACCTCGTTGCCAACAACATCCCCTTTTAATTCTTTATTCTCAGGCACCTGGGTGGCTCAGTCAGTTAAGCGTCTGACTCTTGATTTAGACTTAGCTCATAATCTCAGGGTTGTGAGATGGAGCCCTGCGTCAGGCTCAACGCTGGGCATGGAGCCTGCTTGGAATTTTCTTTCTCCTTTTTCCCTCTGCCCCTTCCCCCCACAGTCACTCTCAAATAATTAATAAATTATATTTATAATTTATATATATGTGTGTGTGTGTGTGTGTATGTATATATATACATATATATATATATATATTCTTTATTCTCTGCTCCTTTCAGAAAGCCCAGTGGGTGGGCCACAATCCCCTTCAAGCTGGTAAAATGGGGGTGTAGAGCACGGCCTCCAAGCCTGCATCCTCTCCAGCAGGCTCTCCCCCTCAGCCCGAGAGCCAAGCAGATGTTTGGGAAAGGGAAGTAGACTTCTGAGAAGTTCTTTCCCTCAAATGCAATCATATCTCAAGCATTAGAAAGAAACCAAACTGCCTCAGTGGCTGCTTTTCTGATAACACCACAGCTAGGAGCGGACCCCCTCTGGGCTGTCCGGGTCTACCAGACTGATGCTTTTAACTCGTGTGCAGAGAAGCAAGTCCTGCCAAAACTGCGGGACGACAGGGGCCATGTTGGGGCCTTCTGACCGGACTGAGAGCTCTGAGTCACAGCTGAATGTAATTGGAGGTGATACCACAGGGTTAAAGGCATGGGCTGTATGGGGTCAGGATGTGTCCAGTCTAATCAATGTGGGATCCATGCTGGCAAGTTATTTCATCTTCCCAGGTCACACTTTCTCATCTGGAAAAGGGGGACAAGTAACAGCATCTACCCCACAGGATTACTCCAAAGACAAAACGAGATAAGGCACACAAGCCACATCGTACAGGACCTTTGGGCACACAGCGAACAATAAATGTTTTCTATTATTTTCTTATTCTATTTGAGTTGCCCTTTACAATACGCAAAAGTCCTCGCAATGGTTCTAATTATGGACAGCATCGTTAATGAAATGCTCTGACTTGGGGAGCACAATTTATTTACGTTTGGCTAACATAATCTACTCCAAGTGGAAGATTCTCAAGAGAGATTTTACAAAACGTCATGGGTAAGGTTTGTCTAGAAAGGAGGAGACCCCACTCTCTCTAAAATACAAAGGATTCAGCTTTGTAAGGACGAGGCTAATCCTGTTTGGTGTTCGTCCTGTAACCCGACCGTAAGTGGGGTCTTGAGCTGACTGCTTTCCCTTCAACCACAGCAGCAAGCAGCTAGGGATGAGGAACTATAAGTAGCGGCTGGGAGGAGGAAGGGATGGGGAGAGGTAGAGAAGTCACCTGGGGCAGTTAGGAGAAGGGAGGGCAGATCTTCCCTCCCCCGTCCCAAGGCTAGAGTTGGTCCAGAAATGGAAGTCAAGGCAGCCATCCCTCCTGCACTGTCCACCTCCCCCCAGTAACCTGGCTCCCTCTACCACAGAGCTGAAAACAATCCTTTGTCATCAGCATGAACTTTTGTCACCTAGGTCAGTTCATTTCAGTTCCTCCTGGCCCACACCAGAGGCCCTGGGCCATCTTACCTCTGGTGATTGGACCTGAGGAGCCCAGGAAGCTGCAGAGAGAGGTCCTTCCTCCCTTCCATGAGTCAGACAAAGAACTCACGGCACCTGGCCCACCACCTAGACAGCCTAACCCTCACTACCAATGTGTACCCTCACTACTACCCTGCTGGAACATGCTCCAGGGAATCTACCAGAGGCCAAGACCTCTATGGAGAGTGACCTGTACCTATGCTCTCCCCATTGTGACGGCTGGTTTTGTGCATAAACTTGACTGAGCCATGGCTGCCCTGCTATTTGGTCAAACATTGTTCTGAGCATTTCTGTGAGGGCACTTTTTGGATGAGATTCACATTTAAATCACTACAATTCCATGAAGCAGACTGTCCTCCCTGATATAGGTGGGCCACATCCAATCAGTTGAAGGCCTGAATAGAACAAAATGGCTGACCCTCCCTCAGGAGGTAAGAGGCAATTCCTCCTGCCTGACTGCCTTCAAACTGGGACATCAGCATTTTTTTTACCTTTGGACTTACACGGAAACATTGGCTCTGCCCGGTTCTCAGGCCTTCAGGCACACTGGAACCACACCATCAGCTCTCTTGGGGCTCTAACTTGTTAATGTTCCAGCTTGCCCATCGAAGATCTTGGACTTCTCAGCCTCCATAATTGCATGAGCCAATTCCTTATCCCGTAAAATAAATCAACCTCCGCGTGCGTGCGTGCGTGCGTGCATGTCTGTTGTGTGTATCCTATTGGTTCTGTTTCTCTGGAGAACCTTAATACGCCCTGACAACAGTCTGAAAGTCGGGTCAGAGAGCAGCTTGCCACTGACCTCCTATCAAGCGACACCCCAGCTGCCTCCTGGGACCCCTGATCACTTGCACCCACCCCAGCATTCCAGCCACAGAAGTGGCAGCTACTGTGTAGCTCTTACTAGATCTACAAACTATTCTGAAATGATACGTATCATCCCCATTTTACACACAAGGAAACAGAAGTACAGAAATACATGCACACTGCTGAAGGGCACACTTAGGGACAGCGCCAGCACTCAAACCTGGGTCTGAGTCCCTGTCCGTGCTCTTAATCCCCGCTGTGAACGCTGCTCAGGATCCCAATGTACCAATCCTGCTCTCCAGCAAGACTCCACTTCCCACCGCTCCCCGTTAGCTCACACTGAACCCCTGGTGCCAAGTCTTTGCACACATGGACTTTACCCCTCATTCTTTCCCACCTGATCTGGCTCTCTGGCCCGGGCCCCAGAGCACACAGTTGGGACTCCTCACCACACTTTTTGGGACTGAGTCACCGGTCAATGGCCCCTGTGTGCCTCTCATACTCTCTTTCAAAGTGTAGCAAGCACTTTAAAATGCACTAGACCACATCCTGGGACCGATGTTGACATGCTCAACAGGAAGAAAATTAAATTCATATGCTCACAACTGTTAAAAAGGACCATGCAGTCTCAGAACGATGAGTAACTGGCGAAGGATACATTTGAGTTGCTACCGGAGGGATGAGTCCACTTGGCCAGGCAATGGGAGGTGGTGGAGGGAGGGCCATGGAGAGGGATTCCAGGCATGGTGCTGGTCATCTGCAGCTGGGTCTGCAACCCGGGTCCTGGTCTCTGCTGGTCCTCCTATTCCTG